ATGAGTGCCATATGACTTGTCCAGAAAAGGTGCTGCAGGTGACCAGAGGTGAAGGTGGCTTCAACAAGAGCAGAAAGTCTCTACCCAGGCTGCCCATTAGAATCTCCTGAGGAAATGTGCCTTGCCCAGAATACCCCAGAATCTTCAGGGGTGGGCCTAGACATCAGTTTCTGCCTGAAAGCATTCCAGAAAGTTCCACTGTGCAGACAACTTAGATGAAGAATCCCTGAAACAGGCTTCTCAGAGACTACTTCTCAGAAAGCATGGCGCTAGGCATGGGCTGGGGGATGATGGGTAGATTTCAGTATGTTGGGTAATATTCTAGGTAGACAAAATATGGCCATGTCTTGTGGAGGAGAGTAAGGCATGTCAGTCCCAGGAGAGTTTTGCAAAACCCATTCCCCTGAATGGCTCAGAGGTAGCTGCAGCATTTGGAGAGGTCTGGAGTCAACTTGCAGACCCACGCCTCTGCAGGAGCCATGTAATGAGGTCCTTGCTACCTTGCTTGTTACAGAACATACATGGTTACCTCTCTCTGGGAATTCTCAATTGCCTTGTTACCTCGTTTCCTACACCTAGAGAGGCAGAACAGCCAGCAGGAGGGGACTGTGACCAAGGCCTCAGCAGGCCTTAGAAAAGCAGACAGTGGCACAGATTTTGTGGAACTCTCTTCCAGGAGCCCCCTCTGAACCACCTTTTTGGCTTAAAAATATATTCTACCAACCCCTGCCAGGAGCTTCAGTGGACTCACAGAGCCTATGATCCTAGGGATACAGCCGCCTCCAACCCTGGGCAGAGCCTGTGTCCCAGTGTTGGCCAGCTAGCTAGGTCTCCTCCTGGGCCTCCCGATCAGATGGCTGCACCCTCAAACCTGGCCTCCTGCAACTCTCAGACAGTGATTGTGGTTTGTGCATTTGTTCCTACCCCAACCCCACAAGGGCCACTGTGTAAACTTTTTTCGTGTGTACTGCTGTGTGAAAAAGAATTTGAGCATACAACCCCATATATATTATTTATTTTATTATAAATTGTAGCCATATGTTACTGCCCTGCTATATGATGGATGTAGAAATATATACAAATGAAGATCTTTTAAAGGGAGGAGAGGTGAAGTAAACATGATTAAATTTTTCCAACATGTTAATGGTACAAAGGCTGTTATACAAACATGCTTTTTAAAAATGAAAGCCATGTGATCAAGTCCCCATACCATCTGTTGACTCTTGGTGAAACTAAGTCCCAGAATTTGAAGATCTGGTTCTAGGTTCTGTTTATTTCAGGTCCCCCAGTTCTTGTGGCATTGACAGGTAAACATGATATACTTTGTAAAGTGGAGTCTGTGCTTCCAGGTCAGAGTACTTGTTTCCCAGTTCCATCCACCCATCACATGAGGGACCTTAGTGAATGGGAGCTGGTGTATGTTAAGGGGCCATCAGGGAGGGTGGAAATCATGGTTTCAAAGGTATTTTGTGTGCAGGTGTCAGTGTTCATGTAGATGGTACTCTTGTAGCATCACTGTAATGCCATCATATAATTGTGGAAACATCTTCAAACGTCTGTTTTCATAAGTGCTCTGTTCTTGGCACAGATTCTTTTGAAAAGCTATCTCTCTCTTGCATTGTCTCCCTTTTCTTGAAAGGACAGATTTGAGTGTGTTTGTTTAAAAGAAAAAAAAGACCAGGCATGGCAGCTCATGCTTGTAATCCCAGCACTTTGGAAGTCTCAGGGGAGTTCAAACCCAGCCTGGACAACAGAGCAAGACCTCGTCTTTCCAAAAAATAAAAATAAATTCCCAGGCAGGTGGTGTAAATCTGTAGTCCCAGCTACTTGGGAGGCTGAGGCAGAAGGATCTAAGCCCAGGAGATTGAGACTGTGGTAAGCTGTGATCACACCACTGCACTCTAGCCTGGCTGACAGAGTCAAAAAAACAAAGCTAATTGGCACATTGCTGCAGTCATCTGCCATTAAAAGAGAGAGAGAGAGAGAGAGAGAGAAAGAGAGAGAGATCTTGATTTGGAACTTTTCATGAAAGAAAATCTGCACCTTCTCCTTAAATTTTCCGACTCTTTGAAATCCTAAGTCATGAACTGACTAGTGAACCTCCAGTTCTCACAAAAGACATTAGTGGTCACCGCCTGAATCACTACAAAGTATTGCAAAACTTTGGCTATTTAGGGGTCTTGTTTTTTGTTTTTTAATTGACCACAACTATGGTGTCCTGAAGCACGTAAACCCTAATATGTCTGACATGCTTAAACCTGTGGTGAGGGCCCACCGTCACCCCACACCCCATGTCACGGGGTGCCACTTCCCCAGTCAGGCCACACAGGCCAGCGTGAGCACCAGGACTGTCCATGTATTACATATCAATAAAGCCAATTGTTTCACATTTTCAAAGAGAAATACGTTTAAGTAGATTTTCTCACCATTTATTCTCAAATTGTCTTGCTCCTCCACTTGATGACCACTGGCAGGATCACGGGTAAAGGCCACTCTCTATAAATGTACCTGCTATTTTCAACCTAATATTTTTTTACAATATTTGCTGGTGTTTGGGCATTTCATCCACAGCATTCATTGAACTGAACATTTTCAAATATTTACTGTGTACTCCCCAAAAGATCATGTACTATGTAAAAGAGTATACCAAACCCTCAAACAGCATCACCGCCCATCTGAGCACACCCCAAGTTCTCTTCTTGTTGCAGCATCCTAGGCCTTGGGGAGGTAGAACCTGGGTCTGCCTCCCTTTGTGGCTCATTCTCCGTGGCTGCCTCCCTTGTGTCGATGTCCTAGCCTCTCAGAACAACTGCTATTCCCTACACACTCTCTTTCCCTTCTCCAGGATACTGTCATACCCTCCCCTTCCCAACTGATGAGTCATTCAAGCCTGGTCTCCCATGTCATCTCCTCCCTACTGCCCTCCCTGGTCATCTCTCTGTCTTACTCTCTCTCCCCCACTACACACCCCCCACACAATTAATTCCTGTCTTCTGCAGAATCTTGTGATACTTTATTTAGCATCAGTTATAGCAGCCACATACATGCAAGCATTCATGAACTGTGAACTCCTTGGATTAAGAGCATTATCATTTTCTTTTTCAAACTCTTTACTGTATGATGTGCCCATCATACAGTAAAATCTTGACAAATGTTTGTTGAATGACAGATGCTTGTTGTCTTGTGTATTCTACCAGCAAATATGAATTAAGTACCTATCAATCTTGTATCAGTGGACACACACAGACCTTTGATGGCTGACTGACTGTTGCAGATTCCCAGTGTCGGTATTCAGATGCTCTCCTAGCTGAAGTGGGTCCTCACCCCTGCAGAAAGGTGCTGACTATGGCCAGTGCCACCAACAAGGGCATCTCTGTGTTGTATATCTGTGGCAAAGAGTCCAGAGCCATGGTTGCCAGCTCTCTCTGGGCAACACTGGGAGGTCTGCCTGTGGCTGTGTTGAGGCCCCCTTCTTCCCACGAGTGCATTCCTATGAGGCCTTTACAAACCAAGTCCCACGGAGGGAGGTGCACCCAAGTGCAAAGTATGACAGGAACAGGTGGCATGGTGGATCTTGTGCCTTTCCCCAAGGCCTGTCCACTTCTATTCATGGGTCTCCAGGCCTGACCCCCACTGACCTCTGCTCCATATATGCAGAAATAAAAATGTCCTTTGAATGGGCACGTGGAAATTGGATGGCAAATTTAAGCCCGTAATGCACCAAAAAAAAAACCCATAAGTGAAGTGGAGACATTTAGGATTTCTCCAGTTCGCTGCTGAGCAGGGGGTACCCTAGAGCCACAGTGCTTGTGAGCTGGCACGACTGATTGCCCTCAAGCTAATGGCAATTACTGGAAAGACGGTTTGTAGAGAAATCCAGTGTACTGTCAAGAGAGTTCTCAGAAATTAGCAGCCTACAGTATGTCTCACTCTGCACTGACTCAATTGCTCACCTAAAAAGCAAACTTTGAAATACTCACCAATGTGTGTGATGTTTAATATTTTAACAGTAAGCAAACAAACTTTTAAATAGGGGAAAAGAAGGTTTGCCTTCTCCTTCCTGGCTGTGTCCCAAGAGTGGTGAAGTGAGGCCACTTTAGAGGGAAGTTCTCCAGATGCTCTTGTCAGGCGGAGGTGGTGGCTTTACAAGTGGCTGGAGTCTTGCATGGTTGCCTAAGAGTAGCTGACAGGCCTGGGCTGGTTCTGGGTCACAGCCATCACCGCTTCTGGGGACTTACTGTGCAGAGTCAAGTGCTTGAAGAAACTTGAACTTCCTTCCCTCACGTACATTTGCTTTTGTAACCAGAAAGCTTTCCAGATTTTGTAATTCCAGGATCTCCTCTTTTAAATTCCTTTTGCTCACCTGCAGATGCAGGTGAGGTGTTCAGTGAGACTTTCAATACAGCCTCCTGTGTACAGCTCAGCAAGCTGAGTGTTATGGGGGCACAGAGAGAAAGAAAACATCTGTGAAGCCGGTGGGGCTGAAGGGATACTTTTTTCCTCTTGATTTCTATGTTCTAGGAGCAACGCACAAACATTTCTAAAGATGCCCAGTGTTTTCAAGACCCACAAGGATGTAGTCATGTAGTGGTTAATAACACAGACCTGGAAGTTACAACAGGCTGAGGTCCAAACCCTGCTCTGTAGTTTTCTTGCTGTGTGATTTGGAACCAGGCACTTCCTCTTAGTGTCTTCATCTGTGACAGGGTGATGATACCAGAAGCCAGATCAGGGTTGGAAGGCTCTAGAAGGATAGTACTTACAAGTGTAAAAGTATAGAATATGAACGTTTGTTATACTGAAATGTGCCAGGAGAAAACACGGAGCCACACCTGAGGTATCTGTTTTGTAAATCCATATTCTTTTGTTATCAGATCTGCTCTGCTCTAAGAAACATACTTGCAATCTATTTGTCTTTTTTATTTTCTAACTTGGTAAGAGTTGTTTTACGATTATTTTCCAAATTACGCTCAAACTCCTTCCATCTGCCCAAAGGTGCCAGAGAGTCATGCCTGTGAGCCCTGGATCCCTCCAGATGTCCTGCAAGTCCTCCGCGCTCCTAAACCCCAAGGTCACCCTGCTCCACCTGAGAAGCACGCAGGCCCCACCCCAGTGCCCTCTGCCTGGGGCCGCCTCCTCCCAGCCAGTTCTCCTGTAGCCCCAAAGGAAGACCTACTACCCAGAGCCTCTCCCAGGATTCAGGTCAGTTCCCTGATGCTGCTCTCAGGTCAGTGTAGGAAGGAGGATGGGATTAAGCACAGGGATGTTTCTTTTCTTGGCCAGACTTTTCCAGAAAAGGAAGTTGTCTATTTCTCTGACCAGAGAAGACTTCTTTGAACCATGACCTTTTTATACTCCTCTCTTGCTAAAGGCAGAAAGTTCCTCGCTGCCAACTCTGCACCCATCTGCAGTGCCCTCCCTGGGGACAACTGGCCCCAGCCTGAGACGTTGGACTCCCCTTTTTGCCTAAACCATTTCTAAAAACCTTTCATAAACCACAGGCCTAAGTGTATATCATTAAGTCACTGCTTTTTTTTCTTGATTGTCTGCAACTGATCTTAAGACAGTTTTTCTACTTATTAATTTTTAAAGAATTGGGATAATTTATTAATTTGCCACTTAATAGCACTTCATACTATTTTAGCTTTAATTTCTGTACTTTTTAACCATGTGGTTTAATAAAAGTCATTTATTAAATTAATTTATAACTTTTTTTTTGCAGTTGTGTTTTGTACAGATATTTATTGACTACCCTTTAAGACATACGTGTTGAGTGTTGTTAGACAGGTATCAATAGCCACATTTTTTTTTTTTTTTGAGTTGGAATCTCACTCTGTCACCCAGACTGGAGTGCAGTGGCCGCTCCCGGCCACCGCAACCTCGACCTGCTGGGCTCCAGCGATCCTTCCACCTCAGCCTTCTGAGTAGCCAGAATTACAGGCATGTGCTACCATGCCTGGCTGATTTTTTGATTTATTGTAGAGATGAGGTCTTGCCAAGTTGCGCAGGCAGGTCAATAGCCACATTTTTAAAAAATTAAAAGCAATAATTTTAATAAAATAGAGCCTTAATAGAAATGACTTTCAACTGACTGAAGTCAAAAGTAAAACAGATCATTTTAAAAAACAACCCCTCGTCCCATGCACTGGAGTCTCCAGGGAGCCATTTAGGTAGTAGTGTTAGCCACGTTAATTAATGAATGACTCACTAATTGTTTGTCTCCTATTCTGTGCTGACTTAACCCTGCTGATGGATGATGTTTGGTTAGAGTCAGTCACAACTGTGGAACTCATGAACTAAAACTTGAGCCCTGTCCACTGTGAGTCATATAGGCTTTTCTGCACAAGAAGAACGCTGAGCTGGGCCGGGCTCCTCTGCTCTGCCTGCACTTCCAATAAGTAAAAGAAAACCAGGGGCTCTCCAGGTCTCCCCCCACCCCATTGCCTTCCCTGCCCTCTCCAGGTAGAGCAGCCACATCTATACCTCCTCGGCCTCTGTGCCCTTGGCACTCAGAGCACGTTCCCTCTGTTTCCTTGGTGTCACAAGATCTACCTATACTAAGTCAGACCCTACTCCTCTAACAGGATCTCACAGATGCTGAGCCCAGTGTCTGTTTCTTATATTTGAAATTTAGTAAGATGGATTTACCTAAATCAAGGAATACCTTGTAGATCTAAGCTCTTGTTGCTGCTATCCCTTGCATTTCATAATCTCTTGGCAGATTCTCCCCCTGGTTATATGTGCCAGATTTAAGTATGATATTCATATGTAATATAGGATAGATTTGTTTTGTATGCATTTTCTTTGGACAAGTGGTAAAGTAAAAATGAAAATGGCTACTCTTGTGCAGTGGAGGCTTTGATACCAGTACCTGTAACAACAACAAGAAAAAGTCCTTAGATTCAAGGTGAGAGAGGAGAACGATTGGTAGTTCTACCTGTGTGTCTGCCTGCACCATCCTGGGTCAACAAGGCCAGTGAGGGCCCCAATTTCTGGCCTCTCCTTCCTCCTTCCTCCCATAGCTCTCTCCAAGTCATAGAAATCGTCCCCAGCCAGGACACTAAGTTGAGTTTTCTTTTAGGGATTCAATGTTGGTTGAGAATAAAGCAGATCAAGAAGTGGAATTCTATAAGTCTGAGTATTTTGCTAATAAATAGCAAATTCATATTAACCACAGAGAACATCTGAATAGTGTTTATCAGATGTCAAATGCCACTACAGCAGTCAAAAAGCATGTCATTTGTCTCAATTTGCCAAGAAACAAAGCAGTCTCCTAAAGGAGTATGCTCTTAGGATGTACAGAGTAGAGCGTTGAGATGGGATGCCACCAGGCCTCGCACCCTTCTCTGTGTGGGTGTTTGGAGTTAAGATGGCACAAAAGGAGGTGAGAGACAACAGAGGAAGAGGATCAGTGGCTCTTCCCCAAAGGTCCACAGTCCGTGTTTCTCTCGCACACCCAAACCCTTTGTCTGTGGTCAGTAACTAGAGCTGGTGCCCACCTGGGAGAAGATGGCTGTGTTCAGGCAGCTGGTGCTCCTTCTGTGGAAAAACTACACTCTGCAGGTGAGTCCAGACCCCGGGGGAAGGGGATGCCCTCGAGAGAGAAGGAGGGAGGAGCCATCTGTGTGCTCTCTGCTCCTGCTTCACAGCCCATTAGCCCATCAAAGTGTGCTGTCATTCCTCTTCTAGAAGCGAAAGGTCCTAGTGACAGTCCTGGAACTCTTCCTGCCATTGCTGTTTTCTGGGATCCTGATTTGGCTTCGCCTGAAGATTCAGTCAGAAAATGTGCCCAACGCCACTATCTACCCCGACCAGTCCATTCAAGAGCTGCCTCTGTTCTTCACCTTCCCTCCACCGGGAGACACTTGGGAGCTTGCCTACATCCCTTCCCACAGTGATGCCGCCAAGACCGTCACCGAGACGGTTCGAAGGGCACTTGTGATCAACATGAGAGGTGAGCCTCAGTGTAGGCTGTTGACTGCCATGGTTCTCTGTGACGGTGTCTCTGAGGGCTGTGCATTATGGGATTTGAACCCAGGATATAGGAAACGGCCAGTAAAGGGCCTTGGCCCGTGTCCAGTCTCAGCCTCAACTGTTGGTTGGCTGTGTTATCCAGTGAATCCCTAGATTTCTCTGTGTCCATATCTCATTGTAAAATGGGGAACCAGGGCCTGGCTACCCAGCCGTCCAGAGCTGTGAGAGAGATCCCCATGGAGGAACATGTGTGGCAACTCTAGCAGAAACAGTCCTTAGATGGCTAACAGTGGGAGCAGGACTCCACAGGGACCACTGGGTAGATCCAAGCCATGGGAAGCTCTTTAATGACAAGGGTGAGGTACAGTTTGAGTACGTGGCTTTAAGAACCTTTCCTGGGATGTGGTTTTGGGAGGGCAGCTCTAAAAGCAGTCATTTAGAAAGCCTGATGATGGGGCAACCCCTTCAGGTCCTCTCCCACTGTGGGAGCATCTCTGTCCTCTTAATAAATCCTACTTTCTCAGAAAAAAAAAAAGAAAGAAAGAAAGAAAAGAAAAAGAAAGTCTGATAACAGAAACTCCCAGGAAATGTGTTGGTCATCTTTTCCAGATCTTTGCTTTCAGAATAAAAAATGTTATCCCTTTTTCCCCCTCTTCATTTGGGAATATACCTCCCATGGTTTGTTGAAGTCCATGTAGTAACACTCACAGGAAATTCCTTGGTCCCTCAATAAACGATGACAGTAAAACCCTTTATGTAAAGTAGGACCTGAGTGATAGAGAAAGCTTTTGAGAAACTCTTAGTGTCTATGCCAGCTTTTAAAATGCACCATTATGATTATAAGAGAGGAGTGGCCCCGGCCTGCAGAGCCCAGTCAAGTTGTGTTATGGGTTTGCATGGCTCGGCCTTGCTGCCAGCCTAACCCAGAGCTGCCAGCTCTGCTCAGAAACCACAGCAAGGGAACTTACTGCCCAGGCTCTGACTGAGCCATCTTGCCCATCTTTCTGGCAACTGGTCTCTCTGCCAAAGACAAAAGCCCCCTTGAGTCTCGGGAAAGGTTTACAAAGACTTAGAGAATCTTGTAAGTCTGTCATATTTTATCTGCCGATAACTTGAAAACCACCCAGACTTTTCAAGCGGAAGGGATTGGGCAACTACGGCTTCTGTGCTCTCTCCACAGTCCGTGGTTTTCCCTCCGAGAAAGACTTCGAGGACTACATTCGGTACGACAACCACTCTTCCAACGTGCTGGCCGCTGTGGTGTTTGAGCACACCTTCAACCATAGCAAGGAGCCCCTGCCGCTGGCGGTGAGACCCGGGCCAGGCTGGGCACTCATAGCCCATCAAAAAGGGCCCAGCTTCCTCCCTTGTGACTAATTCAACCCATATAAATGATTGCTTCTCCTTAAACCCCTGCCTGCCTGGGAGCAAATAGCAGTCTCTTCTTTGGGTCTAGTATGACCAACACGGTCCCCACTCTAGGGAACCTGATGATGTTCCAACCTACCAGGGCAGAACCATTAGAAATGAACCAGCCTGTAGGCTGTTGCTCCAGGCCCCCTTTTCATTCTCTTATTTATAAGAGGCATTACTGGTTTCCAGGCCAGTGGATAGAATCAGGCAGGATAGATAGAAAAGGAAGGCCAGATGTGGTGGCTCACACCGGTAATCCCAGCACTTTGGGAGGCTGGGGCAGGAGGATCGCTTGAGCCCAGGAGTTCAAGACCAGCCTGGGCAACATAGCGAGACCTCATCTCTATTTAAAAAAAAAAAGAGAGAGAGAGAGAGAGAGAGAGCCAGGTATGGTGACACACAACTGCAGTCCTAGCTACTTGAGAGGCTGAGGCAGAAGGATCACCTGAGCCCAGGAGGTTGAGGCTGTGATGAGTTGTGATCATGCCACTGCATTCCAGCCTGGGTGACAGAGTAAGGTCTTGATTCGAAAAGAAAGAATGTGTGTGTGTGTGTGTGTGTGTGTGTGTGTGTGTGTGTGTGTGCGCGCGCGCGCGCGCGCGCGCATGTGTGGAGAGAGAGAGAAAGTAGCAAATATTTGGGACTTAAGTTCATCTAGCATTGTGTTGGCAGCCCTCTACAGGTACTGACCACTCTCTGGCACCTCACACGTAGAGTTCCTGGTAGGAGGTGGCAAGAGGGGTTGCCAAGAATCTGCCAAAGGCTCCTGTTCCCACTGTGGCAAGACATCTCATACTGACATTCTGAGGCTCCTTGAACATTGTCAGGGGTGGAGAGTGGCAAGTTATTGGTGGTGACAGTCCCCTGAGCTCTCTTCCATTTGACACTGCCATTTGTTCTTCTATTTGGATCCCTCAGAACAGCTTGTCTTCTCTTTGTTTCCACAGGTGAAATATCACCTACGGTTCAGTTATACACGAAGAAATTACATGTGGACCCAGACAGGCTCCCTTCTCCTGAAAGAGACGGAAGGCTGGCACACCACTTCCCTTTTCCCACTTTTCCCAAACCCAGGACCGAGAGAACCTACATCCCCTGATGGTGGAGAACCGGGTGAGAAGCGTGTCTAGGGGCCAAATGACCAGCCTGGGCTGCTAACTAGTGACAATCACATGGGGCAGACCCACCTCGTATTTCTCTGTGGAAATACTTTGTAGGAACATCGAGTCTTGTTTGTATACTAGTAAAGGCAGAAAATATCCAGTAAAACAGGCTTCTGTAAAGCTAATATAATCTTTGAAAATAACAGTGGCTCTCTCCCTATAACCCAGAAGATGTGTGCTCTTAAATGAAACATTTATATTTCAGTTTTTAAGAAACTTCAGTTTGAATCTGTTGGGCTTGATTTACCTTTTCCTCCTCTCCCTGACCTCCGTGTTTGGTTTTATTGACTTTTTGAGCTCTATAGTCCTTGTGTAGTTGGTCTGTGGCTTAAATGAAACTGTGATGTTTGTGGAAACAGATCTTGGTTCCTCGGATGCTGTCAGTGCATGTCTTGGTCTAGACCATGGCACTTGAGCAGGCAGTTGGGATGTGTGCCTTCTCTGAAATGTGAGCATGTTTTGAAACCAACCTAGGAATAGCCAAGAAGTGATGGAACCTAGAACTATATGGCCCTCAGGCCAAGACCCTACCACTGATGCTGGGTGGAAGTCCAGGATTTCTGGAGATCACAGTATTCCACACTTCTGGCAGAAGACAGAGCTCCTGGGAGGCTTTGTTGGAAGTTCCAGGAATATCACTTGTTGGGGCATGACTGAAGCCATCAGCACCAGAGAGGCAGGAGGTAGCACACAGTGCCTAGCAACATCTGCCACTTGTGCAGGAGCTCGTCACCAGACTAGCTTTCTGGGGCAGGTTTTAAGACCTGGAAGAGAAACTAAGATGACCAAGGGCAGGTGTGGGATGTGAGAGGCCCCTGAGTGAGGTCTTAACAGGTCGCCCAACCCAGGGGTCAGAGGAAGCCATACACAGCTGTTGCATGGGCTGCCTATGACCTGCAGTAGGAGATGCTGGCTTCTGAGATCCCAGGTGGGCTGAGCTCCTCAACTCCCTTCTGTTTGTTGGGGGCAATTTCCTAGCCCCGGAAGCAATAGGAAAACAAATCTTAAATAAAAAGGCTGACAAATTTCGGTGTACAAATTCAAAATTTGCCAAAAAAAGAAAATCACCTAACACCAATTTTAGAAGCAGACAGGAGACTGGGAAAAAAAATTTGTGGCAAATGACACAGGGCAAATGTCTTTTGATATTTTTAAAAAATAAAATTTTAATTAAAAAAAAGTTGGTTAGAAAAACAGAGTAACCCCAGGAGTAGACGGAAAGGATATGAGGCTGCTACCCGGTAAATTCTAGCTTCATTTTTGTCCCCAGTCACCTCCAGATGTCCATGCCTTAGACTCACTAATCCCACTGCAGAGAATTTAGCCCCCAGAATAGCCAGAGAAAATCCCACATGCATAAAGATGCTCACTGTAGCTTTACTTATGACCATACAAATTTCAGCAACAGGAAAGTGACTGATTACATCCTGATGGCTTCTTGCCTTGGAATATTGAGCAGCCACGAGGTTATGATGATGAAGACCAAACAGCAGTATGGTGAAATCTCCCAGGAGAATAGTACATGAGCAAGTAGCACACAGGATATTTGGAGGGAGACAGTGAGATGTCATGAAAAGACACTGACTTTAAAGTCAAAGCAACCCAAACTCAGCTCATCAATTGTGTGGCTCAACTCCCTAGGCCTCAGTGTCCCCACCTGCTCAATATCACTGTCTGCTCGGCAGGTTCATTGTGAAGCTGAGAATTAAACCCTGCTATGCTGTCTTTAGCACACAACAGTGCCACTAATTGAGCACCTACTCCTGTCATAGCTGTGAGCAGATGTGACCTGAGACAAACAGTAGAAACACATACATGGTAACCCCCATGTTAAAGACATGGTTGGTTTATTGTCTTTCCCTTTTCTAGAGTCTGGAGCCAGGCAACTGACAGTTCTGTGTTAGAGGACATTAGGTGATCTGAACTTCAGTGTGTTTTGTTAGTGAGGGTGCCCTCGACACCCCACCTGCAACCCATGTTCCCTCTGTTCCTAAGGCTCAGACCTCAGGACTCAGACTGCCTTTTTTGCTCCGGATGCTAAGCATACTCCCTCCTGGGGCTCAGTCCCTCCTAGGACTCGTGCTTGTTGGAACACTGTGTCCCCTGCTATCACTGCCCCCAGGCCCTTTCCCTTTGACAATTTTATTACAGAACATGTTGGAAAGTCAAAAAGCAAATGCAGAAATGACAAAGTAGATGAAGCTCTCACAGCTATGACTTTCGGGCCATGGTGCCCACCTCCCTTTAAGATGGCCACTGTGGTGGACCAATTAGCACCCCCCCAAGTTGTCCACAGCCTAATCCTCAGAACCTGGGAGTATGTCGGGTTCCACAGCAGAGGAGAATTAAGGTTGCAGGTGGTATTAAGAATTCTGATCAGCCAACCTTAAGATAGCAAGATGATTGTCTATTATCCCAATGTAACCACCAGGGTCCTTAAAAGTAGACAAAGCAGGCAGGGGAGGGCCAAAGAGAGATGGGGCAACAAAAGCAGGGTTCAAAAGATGCTATGTTGCTGCTTTCAAGGGGCCATGAGCCAAGGAATGTGGACACCTCTAAACACCAAAAAAGGAAGACATTGTCCCCTGACCTCCAGAAGAAAGCACAGTTCTGCTGACACCTTAATTTTAGATCTTTGAGGCCTGTACCAGACTCCTAGCCTCCTGAACTATAAGATCAGAAATTTCTGTTGTCTAAGCCACAAGTTTGTGGTAATTTGTTATAGCAGCAACAGGAAACCCATACGTCCACCAAACCCTTCTCTTCTTCTGACCTAATTTTGGCAAAGCTCACCAGCCTCTTTCTGAACTCAGAGTCTGCCTTCCCAGTTACAGGTGGGCATGTGGGCCATTTCCTTCTTCCTCTGGGCTCCTAGACTCCTGGGGTACCCCATGGAACCAGCCCCCCAGAATCAGTCCCCACTCTCTAGACATGGGAAAATGCTCTTGTTCTTCATACTTTTGTTGCTGTTCCCAGTTTCCCTAACTTAACTCTCTTGACATACTCTCTTCTAGTATATTTTTGACCTGACTTTTGTTTGTTTGTTTGTTTGTTTGGAATCCTATCAAGTCTTTTTGGGGCATACAGAGTCTTTCCAGCCAAGTTCACTTTTACAAGTTTTTAAAATGTGATCAGTATATGATTTTGGGGGTGTTGTGTTAGTTACAAAGTGAACGTGTCAATAACATGTCTACTTTTTTTTTTTTTTTTTGGAGTCTCACTGTTGCTGGAGTGCAATGGCATGGTCACAGCCACCCCAGCGTCGACCTGCTGGGCTTAGATGACCCTTCCACCTCAGCCTTCCAAGTAGCCGGAAACTACAGGCACACTGTACCACACCTGACTAATATTTTGATTTATTGTAGAGCCAAGTTGCCCAGGTTGTTCTCGAACCCATGGGCTCAGGCAATCCCCTCACCCTGGCCTCCCAAAGTGCTGGTATTACAGACTTGAGCCACCGCGCCCAGCCAATATCTCTCTTCTTATTTGCTCTCTGTATGTGGTGCGTTTCCTCTCTTCTCCCGTGGGACTGCTGAACAGCTCAGAATGCCACGGGGGTGGGGGGACCACTAGGTGAAGTCACTCTGCTGCCTCATACACCCCTCCCCCTGTACACCCTGTGCATGTGACCTTCTGCCTTCACAAGCAGCACTGCAATGTTCTCTGCCTCCGCACTCAGGATACATCCGGGAGGGCTTCTTGGCTGTGCAGCATGCTGTGGACAGGGCCATCATGCAGTACCACGCCGATACCACCACGCGCCAGCTGTTCCAGAAGGTCACAGTGATTGCAAAGAGATTCCCATACCCGCCGTTCATCGCAGACCCCTTCCTGGTCGCCATCCAGTACCAGCTGCCCCTGCTGCTCATGCTGAGCTTCACCTATACCTCTCTCACCATCATCCGGGCTGTTGTGCAGGAGAAAGAGCGGAAGCTGAAGGTAGCCTTTTGCATTTGGCTTCACAGAGTTCTAGAAATGGTACCACCATGAGGAGGTCATGTCCAGGGGCTCATCTGGAGGCCACCTAGGCGTCAGGCAGGAGCAGAGGGTGTGGGGTGGTGCCCTTGTTGCTCTGGGCATCCTTGAAATGATGCTGGTGTAGCTGGATTTTCAAAACCCTGATATAGCACCATGTTTTGTGTGCAGTACTCTGAGGACAGAAAGTGGCCCTTAAGCTGCATCATCCTACACAGAAGCCTTGGGCCCCAGAGGCTTCAAGCACCCACTATGTGCCCAGTCCCACTGAGATGTGCCAAAAGTGTAACACATGCACTGAGGTCAAAGACTTAGCACAAAAAGAAATGCAGACTGTCCCATTAGTAATTTTTATATTGATTATATGTTGAAAAGACAGTATTTGGGATATGCTGGGTTAAGTAGACTATATCCTTGAAATTAATTTGACCTGTTTCTCTTCACATTCTTGATGTGGCTACTATAGAACTTAAAGTCACAGATGCTTCTGTTCTAGTTCAGTTGGACGGTGCCCTTCTAGAGGTTAGGTCAATAGTGAGATCAGACGTTTAAACACCTGGCTGAACAGGAAGATCATTAACATTGCATATAGGACAATGGTCGTTACAGACTGTTAGGCATATGGAAAATTAAGAAGTATATGAAATGTCACTATAAAGTCGTAACTGACTTAATTCAGTACAGCCGAATGAAAGTGTCACCTATAAACTCATACCAGTGGTACTGCTGTTACCCAGAACTTACTGAAGTCCCTTCTTTGGAAATGTCTATGGTACCAATGAAACAACATTTAGAATGTTGTCAGTGGTGCCAAATCTGTGATTATTGGTGCTTTTAAATGCTGCAAACCAGAGCTGGGAAACCCAGGGAAGGCAGTGATCTGCTTGGGTGCCTTAAATGACTTTAATAAAACAGTGTAGCACTGAGGTAGTCATCCATGAAATGGTTCAGAGGAACTATCTGTGCTAACATGCTCGCCTACAGATGTATAGCTAAAACAAATGGGCAAATGTGGAATGACAATTGGGTCTGAGCGTGGGCGTGTGAGAGGACATGGCACTCACCTTCCTGCTGCTCTGGAGGTTGGGAGTGGTGCGTGGGAAAAGGCTGGAAGACCAGCAGCCTCGCTTAGTGCCTGGCATGTAGGAGACATGTGATCAACCCTGGTACCCATCCTCAGACCAGCGCTGTCCAGGGAAGCTGCCTGCAACAGTGGGCATCCTGTATCTACTGTCCTTTGCTGTTACCACTGAGCACTTGAAATGTGGCACTGAATTTTTTAACTTTACTAACTTGTAATGTCTTAAGTTGAAATGGCCGTACATGCTGTTGGCTGCCGTATCAGACCGCACAGCTGCCCCAGGACTCCCCAGGCGATTTTTGGTCAGTGAAGAGCTGGGTTTCCTCATTGCACCCCTGACTGCCTAACAGGGCAGGTGAGGAAGAAAGGGTGATCAGAGCCTCCACATCACCATGGCCTACCTCTTCAATGGTGCACCCTTCATAGCAGAGGTTCTGGACCTCTACTTTCAGAGTGATGGCCAGTGAGGGAGCGAGTACCTATGGTATCCACAGCCACGGTCTGACCTGGAGTCCCCTCTCCCAGCTCAGGAGCTGATGCCATACAGCTAGCAACCAGGGGTCTTTCTACTGGCCAACAGAGGGGCTGGGTTCCCACCACCTGACTCAGGACCTGAGCTACACCACACAGCTTGAGGAAAATAGTCTGACCACAAACAGACAGGAAGCACATGCTGGGAATCTAGAATTGCACCATGGGATAAGGGGCACTCCTGAAGGACTTTTGAGAGCATTATTACTTAATCAACATGTACTGGGGACCCATGTTGTGTGGCAGGAGAGGGAGACAGTCATGACTGGGCTTCATGGCCTGTGGGGGAAATAGGCTGACTCTTAGCTCAACCTCAAGGAGAGGAAGGCCGTCGCCCAGTGGAGAGCGAGGGAGCGGAGAGTGAGGGAGTCGCTCAGCGGAAAGTGAGGGGCTCTCTCAGGATAGATTCCCGTGTTGGTAGCATTTAAGGCCAGGAAAGGTAGGAGAGGGCAAGTTCTTTAAACCAAACAAGAGCTGCCATGACAGGCCTTCTGCTGCCCAGCCTGGTGTACCATGCTGTTCCCACCTCAAGTATCTATCACACAGGCATCTATCATCCCCCTCTCGATCCATATACAGACAGCACATGCACACACAGACACACCGACATAGACACACAGACACAGACCGTGCACTTGCACACACAGACACACAAACACAGACATGCACATACACAGAAACATGCACACGCACACAGAGATTCACACATACACAGACACGTACACACAGACATGCAGACATCCACACCCAGACATGTGCACGCACGGACACGCACACAGAGACTGTGAGGAGAGTCTGTGGTGTGGAAGGCACCTGGTGGCCAGTGGGGGCAACCTCCCCAGTAGCTGACGCTCTCCCCCCAGGAGTACATGCGCATGATGGGACTCAGCAGCTGGCTGCACTGGAGTGCCTGGTTCCTCATGTTCTTCCTCCTCCTTCTCATCGCTGTCTCCCTCATGACCCTGCTCTTTTGCGTCAAGGTGAGCATGGCCTCCACAGGGCTCTCATGAGGAGGGGGAGTCAGAGGCAGCCACAGTCCCTGGGAGGCCCGGAGCCCCAGGTGGGTCTTGCTCTGGGAGAGAATGTCCATGGTCAGCAACTTCACGGGAGTCATTCCCTTCCGGGGAGAGCCACGGTTGGTGTCCCCCTTCCTGAGGCATGGAGCCCTCTCCCGTCCTTAGCTGTGTCCCCTGTGACCAGGGATGTTTAGGACTCTTCCAGTCCACCCTACTCCCACATGCTGCAGGTGAAGAAGGATGTGGCCGTGCTGTCAAGCAGTGACCCATCCCTGGTGCTGGCCTTCCTGCTGTGCTTCGCTTCCTCCTCCATCTCCTTCAGCTTCATGGTCAGCACCTTCTTCAGTAAAGGTGGGTCAGGGTTGTGGGGGCGGACTGAGTCTCAGGAAGCCGGGCAGGCTCACTTGGGATGTTTAAGGGTCAGAGGTCCAAGGGCAACTACATGGGCATAACCCAGAGACTGCATTATCAGAAGGGAGGAGTCCTGGGAAGAGGGTCAGGCTCCGAGGAAGCTTAGCAGGACAGGGCAGAGACTGAGACAGAGCCTGGCGGGACTGCCCCAGGGAGGATCTGACAAGGGATACTTAGGGGGAAGAAGGCCACATGTGGGGGCTGTGCTGACACTGTCTAGCAGCTGAAAGGAAGGGCAAGCTGGAGGCAGGACCTACGAGCTCAGCCACCTGCTGGCACCTGTGATAACAGTCACACTGAAGGTCATTTCTGCTGCCTGCACTTTGCGTGTTCTCTTTATAATCATTCTTCTTTGCTTATTTTTCTCCTTTTCTGCCTTCTCTTAGACCAATAAAGTCTCCTATAATTCCTTTTGCTCTGATGGTTTGGAGGATGTAAGTTGTATTTCTCTTCTTTTAGTGATGTTACATTTAATGGCTTATCTTTTAAGATTTTCTACAAGGTGAAGTTATTCAGTATTTCCAGCCTCCTCTCAGATATGACCCAATCCTTACCATACTCTAGTACTCATTACTATTTCCCAACTTCTTGTTTTTTATTGTTTAAAAGGACATAAACTGTTACTATTTTACATTCATATCCTTTGCCAACATATTTTACGTACACACAGTGTTTGTGTACTCTGCCCCTTTGGGTTTACTTTTCTTTCTGTTGAGGTATATTCTGGAATATTCTCTCAGTGGGGATCAGTAAGTGGCTGGTTCTTTTTTACTTTGTCTGTCCAAAGAGGCCTTTATTTTGCCCTCACTCCTGCATAATATTTTAGCTGCATATAAAATTCTCCGTGTACAGATATTTTCCCTTGGCAATTTTCTGATGTTATCCTCTTGCCATGTTGGTAGGATGTCTGCTGACAGTGTGGCATGATTTTCCTTTATTGTGAGTGTTTTGATCTGAGGACTCATGTTAGTATTTCAAACACATTTCAGATAGTATTTCTTCAGATTTTTCTTTCCATTCTCCCTGTTGCTCTCTTCTGCTGAACCTTTGTTGGAGTTTCCAATCTGTTTTTCATATCTCTTACTTCTTATGTATGTGGTAAAATACACTTACCATAAAATTTGCCACCTTAAACATGTTTAAGTGAGCAGGTCAGTGGCTTTAAGCACGTTGACATTGTTGTGCAACCATCACCAACATCCAGCTCCAGAACTTTCCATATTTCCCTACTGAAACTCTGATCCCATTAAACACTAACTCCTCCCTTCCCCACTCCCTGGAAACCACCATTCTACTTTCCGGCCCTGTGGATTTGACTACTCTGGGAATCTCATATGTGTGGAATCATAGTGTCTTTGTATTCTTTGACCAGCTTATTTCACTATGCATGAAGGTTTTATGCATATTGTAACCCATGTCAGCCTCCCCTTTTTGAGGCTGATATTCCACTGTATGCATAGCCTACATCTTGTTTGCCTGTTCATCAGTGACCACTGGCTGCTTCTATGGTTTAGCTGCTGTGGACGTGGGCCCCTGCTTTTAATTCTTTGGTATGTACCCAGAAGTGAAATTGCTGAGTCACGTGGTATTCCATATTTAACTTTTTGAGAAGCTGCCAGACTATTTTCTGCAGCATTTGCACCATTTTCCATTCCTACCAGCACAAGGGTTCCGATTTCCCTACTTCCTCACCAACACTTGTTATTTTCTGTTTGTTTGTTGTTTATAGTTACCATCCTAATGGATGTGAGATGTTATCTCAGTCTGTCTTTCATGACTCTTCACTTCTTGGTTTGTACTGTACTCTTCATGCTCTATCCTGTATGAAGTCTTTACAATTGTTTCCTGATTCCCTAATTCTCTCTTTGACTGTGTGTACTCTAGAATGTATTTCCTCTATTGAGATTTTATTCAATGACTGTAAGAGGTATGACAGTTAAGTTCACAAACTCATCCTAGAAAAAGTGCTCCATACCTCATTGCTGAATATCACTATGATCAGCTTCAAAGTGCTCCCCTTGGGAAGTTATGCACCAATGCCAGTGTCTCATCCACCCATCAAAGCAATTTTGGCACTCTTTTTCTGGAATGGCCATCAGAGCTGTTATCATAATACCCTTGATGTCCTGTATGTCATAAAAATGTCTTCCTTTTAATATTTCCTTTATCTTTGGGTAAAGAAAAAAGCCATTGGGGACCAGATCCGGTTAGTAGGAAGGGTGTTCCAATACAGTTATTTGTTTACTGGCTAAAAATTCCCTTACAGACAGTGCTGAGTGACCTGGTACATTGTCATGATGCAAGAACTCTTTCGGGACAATTTTTGCAGATACCTTTCTCATGGCAAGATTTTCCTGTTTCTAGCCGGGCTCGGTGGCTCAGCCTGTAATACCACGCTTTGGGAGGCTGAGGTGAGTGAATTGCCTGAGCCTGCAGGTTCGAGACCCACCTGGGCAGCTTGGCGAGATCTCATCTCTACAATAAATCAAAAAATTAGTCAGGCATGGTAGCGTGCACCTGTAGTTCCAGCTACTTGAAAGGCTGAGGCGGAAGGTAGAGGCTGCGGTGGCCGAGAGTGGCCACTGCACTCCAGTCTGGGTGACAGAGTGAGACTCCAACTCAAAAAAAAAAGATTTTCCTGTTTCTCTCTCAATGTTTATTTGGTCTGCTGTGCTTTTCATAGTCAGCGACGATTTTGACATGCAATGTGACGAATTTTTGCAATGTTTTCATCAGTTCTGCTCACTACTAGCTGACCTGACCTCTCTTCATCGGTGATGCTTTCTGTCACCTCAGAAAAACGTTTAATCCATTTGTACACTGCCAATTTCTTCATAGCATTATCCCCATAAACTTGGACCAACATGTCCCTGATTTCACTTCCACTCCCGCCAAGTTTAACAAGACATTTAATGTTTGCTCATTGCTCTAATTCAAGTTCCAACATTCTCACAAAGTCACACAAAAACATGCAACAACAATAATGAACGCCACTCCACAAGACACCGCTACACATCAACATGAACACAGCTGTGAGACATTGAATACCAAGGTTATGAAACCTTACCAAGTTGTACTGTGTTGCCAATGTAAGCGCATGATAGCAAGTTTGCGAACTTAATTGTCAGACCCTCGTATTTATCCTTTATGAACTATCCTACTGATTCTTATACATATCCACTTGTTCTTGTTTATTTATTTTTTGAGTCAAGGTTTCTGTCACCCAAACTGGAGTGCAGTAGCATAATCATGGCTTACCGCAGCCTCAAACTCCTAGGTTCAAACAATCCTCCTGCCTCAGCCTCCAGAGTAGCTGGGACTATAGCTATATATACCACACCTGGGTAATTTTTAATTGTTTTGTAGAGATGAGGTCTTGTTATGTTGCTCAAGCTGGTCTTAAACTCCTGGGCTCAAGCAATCCTCCCACCTCAGCCTCCCAAAGTGCTGGGATTACAGGCATGTGCCATGGTGCCCGGCCCTTCTTCTTGTTTCTTTATCCATTTTTGTGAAAGAAAAGTCCTTTTTCAATGGCAGCACTTCTTCATTTACTCCTGAAAGTCTGTAGCCTTCTATTTCGAAGGCTTTCTCTTTTCTACTCATACCAATTCTCTTGGAGAGCTTTGAACATACTGTTAGTTCCCAAATTTAAGCCTCCAGCTTAAGTGTCTGTCCTGAACTCAGACCTATATGTGACAGCTCCCACTTCCTGTGCCTCTCAGTCAGAACATGTCCAGAACCAAGCTCCTGATCTTATCCTCAGAAACTTGTTCCTCCATCTCTGTAAGCAGCAACTCCATCCTTCTGGTTGCTTCATCCTCTCTTTTTCCATCCTACTCTGTGCCCAGTTCATCAAAAAATCCTGACAGCTCCACCTTCAGGGTGCACCTGAGCTCCCTCCCACTTCTTACCTCCTCTGCTGCCCCACCATGGCCCCACCACCGCCCTTGCCTGACTGGTTTATGTGTGATTGCCCCATAACTGGTTTCCCTGGGCCTCCTCTAGTTCTCAATGTAGCCAGTAGTGTGAACCTCCTAAAATGTCAGTCAGAGCTTATCCCACTTCTGCTCAAAACCCTCCTGTGGGCCAGGTGCGTGGCTCCTGCCTGTAATCCCAGCACTTTTGGAGGCTAAGGCAAAAGATTGCATAAGTCCAGGAGTTTGAGACCAGCCTGGGTAACATGGTGAGATCTTGTCTCTACAATAAATCAAAAAATTAACTGGGCATGGTAGCATGCACCTGTAGTCCCAGTTACTCGGAAGGTTGAGGCAGATGTATTGCCTGGGCAGGTCGAGGCTGCAGTAGCTGTGATCTTGTCACTGCCCTCCAGCCTAGGTGATAGAGTAAGACCCCAACTCAAAAAAAAAAAAAAACTCCCATGACTGTCTCACACAGAAAAAAAGCTAAGGCACCTACTCTGGTCAGCAAGACCCTACCCAGGCAGGGCCAGCAGCTGTCAGTCCCTGATGCTGCTGCTCTTCCCCATTCACACCATCCCTGTCCAGGCTTTTGCCCTGAGTAGATCAGAAGTTCTCAGAGCATGATCTGCAGACTCCTAGCCATCCCCAGGGAACCCATTTAGGGGGTTCACAAAATAAAACTGGTCTTATGATACCAAGATGCTGTTTTTGCCTTTTCCACCACATTAACATTTGTAGCAATGGTTTAAAAGCAACAGTGGGCAAACTGCCAGACCAAAGCATGAATCGTGGCCCCAAGTCATGTGAGTCGTCACTGTATTCTTCCCATCACATACAGCAAACGGCACCAGCTCCACTCAAGAGTGGATTGCCTGAGCCCATGGGTTCGAGACCCGCCTGGGCAGGCGAGACCTCATCTCTACAATAAAATTTAAAAATTAGCCGGGCGTGGTAGTGCGCACCTGTAATTCTGGCTACTCAGAAGGCTGAAGCGGAAGGATCACCGGAGCCCAGCAGGTCGAGGCTGCGGTGGCCGGAAGCGGGAGTGGCCACTGCACTACAGTATGGGCGACAGAGTGAGACTCCAACTCCAAAAAAGAAAAAAAAAGAATGTCTTTAATGAAGCAGTTAAAAAATAGTAATTTTATTAAATCTTCACTCTTGAATACACTTTCTTTAGTATTCTGTGTGATAGAATGGGATGTACACATAAAGTACTTGTGCTGCAAGTTTATTATCTTGAGGAAAAGCACAGTTGTTTGAGTTATCAGCTAAACTAGCCACTTTTTTCATGGAACATCATTTTTGCTTGAAGGAACAACCATCAGATTATAGTTATTTATCGTTAGTATTTGGTAGGCATTTTATCAATTATGAGCCTGTCTTTTCAAGGGAAACAACTGGTACTTTCCAATGTTAGTAATAAAATTAAAGCTTTCAAGCAAAAAATAGACTTTTGCAAACTCAAATCTATCACCATGAGCTTGACAACTTCCCAGAACTTTTTATGGGCCTGGGTGCAGTGGCTCGTGCCTATAATTCCAGCACTTTGGGAGGTGGAAGTGAGAGGATTGTCTGAGCCCAAGGGTCTGAGACCAGCTTGAGTAGCTTGGTGAAACCTCATCTCTACAAAAAATTAGCCAGGCGTGGTAGCACATGCCTATAGTTCCAGCTACTTGGAAGTCTGAGCCAGAAAGATCACCTGAGCCCAGCAAATCAAGGCTGCAGTAGCCATGATAGTGTTATTGTACTCCAGTCTGGGTGACAGAGTGAAACACTGACTCAAAAGAAAAAAAAAGATCTTTTTGCAGGACTGGTGACCATATTAACAGTAAGTGTGATTTTAAAAATATTTTATACATAAACGTGTCAATGCTTAGAAGATCTGCATAATTCAATAAACAATATTTTCTGAATGACTAATATAACGTGGCAAAAATTATGCAAGAATAAAAATTAATTCAAATTGCAAGATAGGTCAGGAGTGGTGGCTCATACCTGTTATCCCAGCACATTGGGAAGCCACGGTGAGAGGATTGTTTGAGCCCAAGAGTTTGAGACCAGCCTAGGCAACATAGCTAGACCTTGCATCTACAAAAAAAATTAGCCAGATGTGGTGGCACGTACCTGTAGTCTTAGCTACTCGGGAGACTGAGGCAGAAGAATCACCTGTGCCCAGGAGGCTGAGATTGTGGTAAGCCATGATTGTGCTACTGCACTTCAACCTGGGAAACAGAGTGAGACCCCCTGACTCAAAAAAAAAAGTGCAAGATAAACCAATAGATTTTAATGTAACAAAGTATAAGAAATCCACTGGTAACTGGACACGGTAGCTCACACCTATAATCCCAATGCCTTGGGAGGCGGAGGCGAAAGGATTGCCTGAGTCCAGTGGTTCGAGATCAGCCTGGGCAACTTGGTGAGACCTTGTTTCAATAAATCAAAAAAAATTAGCCAGGCGTTGTGGCACGCACCTGTAGTTCCAGCTACTTGGAAGGCTGAGGCAGAAGGATCACCTGAGTCCAGCAGGTTGAGGCTGCAGTGGCGTAAGTGTGCCACCGCACTCCAGTGGGTGACATAGTGAGACTCCTACTCAAAAATGAAAAAAAGAAAAAGAAATCCACTGGTGAGTTTGATTACATGTGACACCTAACCTTTCAGAAGCTACCACTTGTTGAGTGGTAGCTGAGTGGTGTAGTGTCAAAGAATAGCCAAAAATATCAGTAAAGACTGTTCCCACACCCTTCCCTCTTCCAACTACATATCTGCCCGAATCTAAATTTTCTTCATATACTTTACCCAAAATGACATAGTACGATAGAGCAAATACAGAGGCAGGTCTGAGGATCCAGCTATAATCTAGTAAATTGGACATCATGGCCATTTACAAAAACGTAAAACATTGTTCCTGATTCAAGCACCAGAGGTGGGAGAAAAAGATCAAAAATAAGAAAACAAACAAGAATACTGCTACTCTTCTTACTATATTATGGAAAATGTGGCTGTTCTTCATAAAAATAGTTAACTTGTGGTAGGTTTATTATTGTTATTTTAAAATGTTAAAAAGTGGGGGGACACCCCTGATCAACAAGGGTGCCTGAACGATGCATATTTGTATACCTAACCCTTAACTGTACCCCACAATCTTAAAAAATATGTTAAAAAAAAAGAAATGTTAAAAAGCTTTAAATTTTCTCAGTATTAATTTTTTATAGAACAAATATAATCTACATAAAGAAAAGCCCTATAGTGTCCCTGATAATCTGTGGGTTTTTTGAGTCAGGGTCTCATTCTGTCGCCCAGACTGGAGTGCAGTGACATGCTCATGATGATCATGGCTTATAGCAGCCTCGACCTCCCAGGCTCAGATAATTTTGTTTGCTTGTTTGCTTGTTTGTTTGGGTTTTTTTTTTTTTGTAGAGATGGGGTCTCGCTGTGTTACCCAGGCGGTCTCTAACTCCTGGGCTTAAACAGTGTGCTAACCTCGGCCTCCCAAAGTTCTGGGATTATAGGCGGGAGTCACCATGCCTGGCCCCTGATAATTTTTAATGGGTCTTAAGACCAAAGAGTTTGAGCACTACTGGCATGGACTGAAACCACGCTGTTCCCTGCACACGTCCATGACCCAGTCACCAGCCTGTTCCAGGTCTTTCTCACTTGTCACCTTCTCCTCAAAGCCCTCCTTGCCCGCTGGAGCATCTTTTCCTGTCCTGTGCCTCCTTGCTCTGTCCAGTGCTTGTCACCACCCAGCACGCACTGTGCTTGGCTTCCTTACTCCTTTGCTGTCTCCTGCTAGAGTCCAGGCTCTGGGAGGGGAGGGGTCGTCTCTGTTTTATGTGTGGCCATCTCCTTCATACCTGCAACAGTAGGTGGCTCAGAGTAGGTGCTCAGTGAGTATCTGACAAGTGAATAAATGAACGAATGAGAGAGATTGGGCAGGACAGGCAGAAGTGGGGCTCGGGTGGGAATCAGGGATTTGGGAGTAGCCATTTCAGGTGTGTGATGTCAAGGAGGCAGCTAGAAGGTGTGGAGAAAGGGCTGGAGGTATCAGCCCCCTGGGGTCCCTGGGATGAAGACAACATGTGCAGCTCCAGGAGGGGTGCCATCCCCAGGGCACCTGCACACCAAACAGAGAAAAGACTGTTGGCCAGGCCTGGGGTCCCCCACTGCCAGGGCTTGTGTGTGGATGGCAGGTACTAGGGAGTGTGTAGGATTGCTCGGACCCAGGAGAGGCTTCCTTATCCTGTGGGAGAGCCCAGCCCTGATGGCACTGACACATACATCCCCATCTCTTCTCTACCGGCAGCCAACATGGCGGCAGCTATTGGGGGATTCCTCTACTTCTTCACATATATCCCATACTTCTTCGTTGCTCCCCGATACAACTGGATGACTCTGAGCCAGAAGCTCTGCTCCTGCCTGCTGTCCAATGTTGCCATGGCAATGGGAGCCCAGCTCATAGGGAAATTTGAAGCAAAAGGTAAGTGCTTTCGCTGAATCAGCAACGCTTAGAGTGCAACTAACTACAAGCGCCTCCAGTAGTTAAACTCTACCTCAGACAATACACTGGCAAATCAGGGCAGCTGAGGAGGTGTCGGCAGACAGGCACTGAGAGTGCACCTGGCCCTGGGCAATGGCAAGCTCAGGTCCAGGGCAGCCCAGGAGGAGTGACAGGAGCCATGGGGCAGTGGGTGGAAGATGCTCAGAACTCAAGGAACAGAGGGGCAGGACCACCACACCTGTGTCTATCCAGTGATGGGATTTAACTTGGTGACTTGAGTCTCTTCCAACTGCTTGAGACGTTCAGAGCCATTACACCAGAAATCTCAAGGTCCACCAGTTTTGAGGACTTTTGACCAACTCCAAGCTCTTAGTAAAGGACAACGTTAGCATCTTCCTCAGTACCTCTTGCAATGATTGATAACGAGGGCAGAGAGGCCTGAGAGAGAAACAGGTGATAAACCAGGGCATTATTTTCTTGATTTTTGTGAAAGCTTCTGATTTTAAAAATATCATGGGGGGTCAAATAAAACACTTCCTTGGGCCAGGCTCGGTGGCTCAGCCTGTAATCCCGCGCCTTTGGGAGGCTGAGGTGAGTGGATTGCCTGAGCCCGCGGGTTCAAGACCCGCCTGGGCAGCGAGACCTCATCTCTAAAATAAATCAAAAAATCAGCCAGGCGTGGTAGCGCATGCCTGTAATTCCAGCTACTCGGAAGGCTGAGACGGAGGGATCGCTGGAGCCCAGCAGGTGAGACTGCACTTCAATCTGGGTGACCAAGTGAGACTCCAACTCAAAAAAAAAAAAACCACTTCCTTGGGCTGGTCTTGTCCTGTGGGCTTCTGCTCTGCAAAGCCTGCAGTAGACACTAACTTAAGCACCTCTTGCCAACCCCACTGCCAATACAGCTGTATTGGGAGTCCCATCTCCAACACACAGATCTGGGGAACACAGTCAAACCATTGTGCCATACAGTTCCTAGTCACTGTAAAGCTTGCAGAGTTCTGGGTCTCTGGAAGGAGATGGATGAACAGTCACAGGAACGTTGTGTTGCTTTCTCCTTCATTCGAATGTTTTCTTCAGTCCTTTTTTTGTTGAGTTGGAGTCTCACTCCGTCACCCAGACTGCAGTGCAGTGGCCGCTTCCGGCCACCGCAGCCTTGGCCTGCTGGGCTCTGGAGATCCTTCCGCCTCAGCCTTCCAAGTAGCTGGAACTACAGGCGCGCGCTACCATGCCCGGCTCATTTTTGATTTATTGTAGAGATGAGGTCTTGCCAAGTTGCCCAGGCGGGTCTTGAACCCGTGGGCGCAGGCAATCTACTCACCTCTGCCTCCCAAAGGCGCGGGATTATGGGCTGAGCCACCGAGCCCGGCTGGCAGCATCTTCTAACTCTTTAGCTTTTAAATGTATGTGTTTCCATGCTTGGGAGTGGGTTGCTAGACTATAAATGAGCACTCCCTTTTGGGGTTCAAATATGTTTTAAAAAGCCACTTACATAGAGAAAGCTAACTATGTGGCACCCTTCTTTTCTCATTCCATAGCAAATTTTCTTAAGACAGACAAATCTCTAGGTGTTTGAAAGTAAAGATTCACCAAGACCAGAGGGCAATTTTTTCTATCAGGGCTCTTGGCCAACAGAGTCTGGCTGGAAACACAGATGCAGGCACCACAGGGACTGTGGTGTTGGCAAAGAGGAGACAAATACCCCAAGTTCCATTAAACAGAGCTTTGCACGTCTGAAATGTTTCCTTTTGTAACAAGGACATATATTAAATGCACATTGGTCCATACTGGCCTGGCCTTACCCAAATCATACACACATATGTGTGTATATGTGTACATATGTACATATGTATTGCAAATTAAATGTAAGCCTTCTACTCAGTGAGCTTCTGCTGGCCCTGTAAATTACAGATTTTGTAACTTGCTGGTGTCTTACAGACTTGAAGAAAGTGATCAGATTTTTTATGAAACCAGAAAGAGAAACTCATGCTGACCTTGCAGTAATGATGCATGGTTGAATGTGTATATGTGTTCCATCTGGGGCTTCTAGGTCCCTCAGCCCTTCCAGTCTGTCCAGTTTCAGGTGGTTTTCCTGGTGTGTCTTCCAGGCACAGGCATCCAGTGGCGAGACCTCCTAAGTCCTGTCAATGTGGATGACGACTTCTGCTTCGGGCAAGTGCTGGGGATGCTGCTGCTGGACTCTGTGCTCTACGGCCTGGTGACCTGGTACGTGGAGGCCGTCTTCCCAGGGCAGTTCGGTGTGCCCCAGCCCTGGTACTTCTTCGTCATGGTGAGTTCTGACACCCTGCTCTTCCGGTCACCTGCCTCTGTGGGTGGCAGAAGGATCCTCAGCGCTTGGGACACCTGCAGGGGGCTAGGATAGAGAACCTCACCTTATACACAGCAAGCCTGTCCCAAAGGCCCTTGGGATTGATTCCAAGAGAGAGGAAGACCTGCTGCCTCCGAGACAAATCTTTCCACTCCAGGCTCTGAGATGCAGGGAATAAAGAAGGGACTTAACAAATTTTCTATTCGTGGTTAGTTAGGGCCACAAATGTTTATCAAGAGGTCACTTCTATATTTCATCAAATCTAAGGTGACACTGATTGTGAAAGGCAACCATTTCTTTGTTTATCACTAAGAAAGAAAAATGCCACCATTAAACTATGGCATTGTGTAATTTAAGACACATTCTGATTTTAAAGTCACTCTAAGCATGAGAACTATGTCCCTTAAAACCTGTAGTATGTGGTATATGCCAGAAACTATTCCAGGCACTGGAAACACATGGGGAGCAGAACCGCGGGCTGTGTGAGTCCCCCGCAGGCTACCCACTGACACCAGTTCTTCCCAGGGTGCCTGTTTCTCATCCCCTGCTCTGTAGCCCTGGGCTGCCTTCCAGAGCAGAGTATATGAGGTCTGTGGCTATGTTCTTACCCCACACACCCAGCCTGTTACTGTGGTAGTGAGAGGCCTCCTGCAGGCAGGAGGGAGCCTCCTCATAGCAGAGGGAGCCCAGCCTTGGTGGCCTGTCCTGCCTACTGTTACACACTCATTTGTGGCTCCAGTAAGGAAGCAGTCAGGTAGTAGGAGATACAGCCTCCTTTCCAACACCACGCTGGACTGGAGCATTCAGTAACCTCTCTGTATATTAAATGTCATAGTTGACAAACCCTCTCTTCCTCTGTATCATACCTGAGTTGATTTTCACAACAAGCCTGTGTGTTACCATTATGCCCATTTGCCAGATTGGGAAACTGAGGCTTAGTGCTTTCCCAGGGTAAAATGAGTTAGGAGCTGCACAGCAATAACCTTTGGAGGGTTAGGATGAAGGTCATGTTGCTGCATGTGTCTAGTGCATCAGCTGGCTGTTGCTGTGCATGTCAAAAACAAGACAACTGACACTCATCTGCTCTCATCCTAGCCCTCTTATTGGTGTGGTAACCCGAGGATGGTCACAGGGAAGGAGGAAGAAGACAGTGACCCTGAGAAAGCACTCAGGACAGAGTACTTTGAAGCTGAGCCAGAGGACCTGGTAGCCGGGATCAAGATCAAGCATCTGTCCAAGGTGCCACCTCCCTGTGGGGACAGGGCAGGGCTGGAACTGGCCAGGACCACAGGGACAGACTGGGCAGCACAGCAGTGAGATCTTACCACCTGGCAGGTGCCCCCTCTGAGCCTGGTCGCCTCCTTGCCTCTGATGGAGGAGAGCAGGAACCCCCTTGGTGACTTTCTGACCAGATCTCCAGGGCACAGGTTACATCTCTGCATCTGTGTCTCCAGTGCCCAGTTCGGAGCCAGGCTCAGGGCAGAGTTCAGCAGATGTGCTGTTTAGGCTTTGCTCTTGCCAACTTCCAGGAAATTCTGCACTTAACTGAACAGCAGTGCTCATCTTCATGGGCCTCCTGACCCTGCAGGGACACTGAGGGTGTCGTGGGATGCATGAAAGGTAGGAGAGGCAGGAGCAGAGCAGCAGGGAGCAGCTTCTGCTCAAAACGCTCCTCCTCCTCTCTGTGCTCTGACTGGTGATGCCAGGCTTGGCCTCCTTTGGAGATGATCAGCTGAGGCACAGGAGGGGCCCGTGGACAGGGCTCCTGAGGACCACAGGCATTCAGCACTCTGCCTTTCCTGCAGGCCTTCAGAGTGGGGACTAAGGACAAGACAGCCGTCAGAGACCTGAACTTGAACCTGTATGAGGGGCAGATCACCGTCCTGCTGGGCCACAATGGTGCCGGGAAGACCACCACCCTGTCCGTGCTCACAGGTGAGGAAGAGAGTGACTCCACATCTACCTGCAATGGGCAGGTCCCCTTCAACACCATTTCCGTGTATCTCTGACTTTGTTCCCTCACATGGCTCTCCAGCCTTCGCCAGCCACAGAGGCATGAGATGCCCTTACACCTGGCTGCACCTCAGGCCCATGGGCCCAGGGACCATGCAGAGAGCTCCCAAGTGACCCTTGCCCTCCTCACTGCCTCTGCCCATAAATGTCCAAGCTTAGTAAGATCAGTAAAGACCCACGAATCTACTCAGGAGCAGGTCTGCCCAGTATTGATTTTGCCAACCCGCTCTCCTTGAAAGCTGTCTCTGGTGCACCAGACTCAACTCTGGTGTTTCACTTTGTCTTCCCTGAGCAAAGCATTTAGCAGCACAGGCTGGGGCCTGGGGCGGGGGCTTTGTGAGTGTGTTGTAGTTGTAGACATACACATGCGCCTACATTTCTCCTCCCTCTTCTGTCCTCTGCTAGCCCAGCTGCAGACCTGACGCAGCTGCTGAGTTGGGAGGGGGGTCCCTGGCTCTCTCATGGGCAGGGTCCTCAGGGAAACCCAGGAAACTGCATGACCGAGGGGAGGGTTCATTACCCCTTGTGCTAATGAGCAAGATTTTCAAGCTGAATGTGGGGGGTCTCCTGCTCGGCCCCAGGTCTCTTTCCCCCTACCAGTGGACGGGCATATATCAATGGGTATGAGATCTCCCAAGACATGGTCCAGATCCGGAAGAGCCTGGGTCTGTGCCCACAGCATGATGTCCTGTTTGACAACTTGACAGTCGCCGAGCATCTCTATTTCTACGCACAGGTGAGTCCGGGATACCGGGATGTGGTTATTCACTGCTGATGTGCGTGGGTTTCTGGGGCAGTCCAAGGACCCCGAGTCTGTCCTGAGCAGCTGTTTTGTAAAAACTGGGGGAAGGGAGCCAGCAGGGCAGAAGCCAGGGCTCCAAGTCCATCATTGCAAGAGAAGGCTTCTCTTAGCCAGGAGCTCACTGCATGGGGCTGGCCTCCCGCAGGAGCCCCTGCCCCATCTCTCCTCATCCTGTGGTTTCAGCTGAAGGGCTTATCACACCAGAAGTGCCCTGAGGAAGTCAAGCAGATGCTGCACATCCTCGGCCTGGAGGAAAAGTGGAACTCCCGGAGCAAGTTCCTGAGTGGGGGCACGAAGCGCAAGCTTTCCATTGGCATTGCCCTCATAGGGGGCTCCAAGGTAGGGGGCAGCGGCCCGGCCTCCTGAAGGAGCACAGGTCAGGGCCCCATGGGTGGCAGACATGCATGTGGGGCTGCAGGGTCCAAGGGCCTCATTCAGGCTCTAGCTCCTGCTCAACCTGAACTGGCTGCTGTCCCTTCTGCCTCCGGCCCTTCAGCCAAGGTCCAGGCACCTCGGCCCTTGTCGCCCTGGACAGGCAGTCTGCCGTGGATGGTGCTGCTGCATCTTTGGAGAACCCCAGCCAGCTCAGCGACCCCTCAGGTGGCATGGGTCCTACAGCACAGCCAGCCTGGGCCCGGGCACGGCTCTGCCCTCATCATGAGACTGTGCCTCTGCCCTCCAGGTGTTGATGCTGGATGAGCCCACCTCAGGCATGGACGCCATCTCCAGGAGGGCCATCTGGGACCTTCTTCAGCAGCAGAAAAGTGACCACACCATCCTGCTGACCACCCACTTCATGGACGAGGCCGACCTGCTGGGGGACCGCATTGCCATCATGGCCAAGGGGGAGCTGCAGTGCTGTGGGTCCTCGCTGTTCCTCAAGCAGAAGTACGGTGAGTGGCGGGGCAGGGCAGGTGGTGACAGAGCAGTGTCACTGGCCACTGTGCTGAAGGGAACTGCCCACTGTCACTTTCATGAGGGGCCCTGAGATCAGGTAGGGAGAGACCTTCTCTAGACTTCCTGTCCTGTTGCCCTTGGATGGAGAGCCCAGGCCAGGCCCAGGGGCATGTGAGAGCAAGAGGAGTGGGAGGAGCAGGAAGGAACAGAGGCCAAGCCCACAGCTGCTAAGAGCAGGTGCCTGGAGAGACCATGCGTGCTGATGTAGCAGTAAGAGCGGCTCGCGGCACAGCCCAGGGCTGGCAGGGGATGCCAGACCAGAACCCTTGGCCCTGCTGTGTGAGTGTAGCTTCCCTCTCAAGGTCACCCCTGCTGTGTGAGTGTAGCTTCCCTCTCAAGGTACTGGTCTGCCTGCCTCCCCTACATTCTAGCAGAGGGCGGAGCAAAGACACAGGTACACCCCCTCCTCTTAGGAGACCCTCAGAGTGCCCTCCTCACTTCTGCTGGCCTCCTGAGGACCAGCTTACAGGCAGCCTTGGTGACCAGGAGGTGACCAATGAGGTCAGCAGCAGGCTGGAGGGGGCGGCCTTCATCCTGGCCAGCTGCATGCCCAGCAAAGACACAGGCTTGATACCAAGAAAGGGTTAGGGTAAGCAGACCTTGGGGGCTCAGGCATCCTCTTTGCTTCAGCCTCTGGCTGCCGGGTTGGCCGAACCATTGCTCTTCCTGGGCCCAGCGTCCTTGTCTCTAAAGAGGACATGGAAATACCAGTTCCTGCACAGTGACTCTGGGGAGGAGATGAGGTGACTTACCTGAGAGTGCTGTGTGGTGTGGCTGTGGCCAGTGATGCCCACTCCACTCCTGCTTTCTTCCTGTAACCATCTGTGTTAATTTCACCAAATTGATCCCCCAACACATGAGATATTGCTGGTGCTGATGTCCTTCCCTGAGGGCTTTACAGATGGGAGAAGACTCTGTCTTTGAGCAGGTGTCCTGGCTACACTCCGTTCCCCAAGACCTCCGGCACCTCTCCTCAACTAGGGAGAGGGAGGCAAGACCCCAGGGACAGCACGGGGAGCTCTGTGTGTGCTCCTCTTCAGCTGCCCCGGTGCTCCATCCTCCTTCCTCTGAGCCTGCCCTGTGTGAGCCCCCAGACCCTAGTGTGGGCAGGAGGAAATGTGGAGGAACAATCAGAGGGCCTCACACCTCCCCATATTTCAGGTGCAGGCTACCACATGACGCTGGTGAAGGAGCCACACTGCAACCCTGAAAGCATCTCCCAGCTGGTTCGCCACCATGTCCCCAATGCCACACTGGAAAGCAATGCTGGGGCTGAGCTGTCCTTCATTCTTCCCAAGGAGAGCACACACAGGTATCCTGGCAAGGGCTGGTGGAGAGAGCACATATAGGTACACCTCCTGGAGAGGGCACACATAGGTACACTTCAAGGGGAGGGCACACACAGGTATGCCTCCCTGAGAGGGCACATGGAGAGGACACACACAGTATACATTCCTGGAAGGGCATGCATGGGTACGCCTCCCAGGGAGGGCATGTGGAGAAAGCACGTACAGGTATACCTTCCAGGGAGGTCCCATGGAAAGGGCACGCACAGGTACACATCCCTGGGAGGACACACTCCTGTATGAATCCAAGATGGGATCCTAGTTGGCCACGAGGGCTTGATGCTCACAGGTACCCTCTGTGGCTGGCAAGAGGGCATCCCTCAGCCCGTGGGCCTATGGACAGCCTGTGGTGAGTCTGCTTGGCTGGCCCCTGGGTGCTAGGCCTCCTGGCCAGGAAAGACATAACTTGGACCTCAAAAGGCGAAACACAGATCTAACTCATCAAAGGGGCACACACTGCCTGTGTGCCGTTCTCTCCCCCTCCTGACACAGGTTAAACATCCACAGCCACCACTCTCAGAATTATTTGTGGAACTGAGATTTATATTTGCATACAGTCTATGAGCTTATATAAGCATTTTTTGTTTGTTTGAGTCAGGGTCCTCCTCTGTCCCCCAGACTGGAGTGCAGTAACACGATCATGGTTCACCACAGCCTCGATCTCCTGGACTCAGGACAGTCTTCTGCCCCAACCTCTCGTGTAGTTAGGATGACAGGCTTGCCACCATGCCCAGCTAATTTTTTTTTTAACGTTTGTAGAGACAAAGTCTCACTATGTTACCAAGGCTGGTCTTGAACTCCTGGGCTCAAGCAATCCTTCTACCTTGGCCTCCAAAATTGCTGGGATTACAAGCATGAGCCACTGCGCCCGTCCTAGTTTGTGTATTTCAATCTCAGAACTTGAGCCGTGGGCACTTGCCTCACACTTGCCTCTACACGGGGCAGAACCACCCATGAGGGTAGGAAAAGCCAAACTCTTGAATCGCATTCAGAGGCTTTGGAATATGTATTTTATTTTTATTTTATTTATTTTTGAGTTGGAGTCTCACTCCATTGCCCAGGCTGGAGTGCAGCGGCACACTCATGGCCACCCCAGGGTCAACCTGCTGCACTCTGGTGATCCTTTACTTCCACCTTCCAAGTAGCTGAAACTACAGGCGTGTGCTACCACGCCCGGCTAATTTTTTGATTTATTGTAGAGACGAGGTCTCACCATGTTGCCCAGGCTGGTCTCGAACCCACGGGCTCAGACAGTCCTCTCACCTTGGCCTCCCAAAATGCCGGGGTTACAGGCTTGAGTCCACACCTGGCCAGGACATGTATCTTAAAAGTACATCTAATCTTGCTACAAGTCTGATTGAGCAATGTGATTTATAGCTGAATAATGTTCCATGATTCAGATATACCATAATTTAACATCTGCTTGTTATCATGTACACATGTTTTTCAAAAAAAAATGCTAATATACATCCTTCTAGAAAATTATTTGTCCAGATCTCCAATGGCCTTCTCAGGATAGAATCCCAGAAGTGGGGTAATTAGCACCAGATTTCTTTCTAGAAAGGAGGTATGGTTTTGCTTCTCCATCAGCAGGGTAGGAGACTATCTATTTTATTCTGTTGTTATGGCTTTAAGTAAAATTTTTGTTTGTTTATTTTTGTTTGTTATTGTCTGTCTTTTGCTTCCTTATGGGTCAGTTTTATATGATACCACCAGTCATTTTTGTTGCAACTTTCTCCAAGTTGTTTGTTTGATTTTGGGGATATTTTTCCGTACAGATTTTACATTTAATGTGTCTTATTCTATCCCTTGTGATTTCTTCCATTGCTTTTATTCTTAGAAAGTGTTTCTCTATCCTGCAAGCAAATGAATACATGCCAGTTTACTTTAGTTTGTTTTTTGGTTTCCTGTGTGTGTTTGCTATTCACGAATGCCTGACAGGCCATAGTGCTCATAAGACCTTACATGAGGAAAACAAACAGGACTGGGGTAGAGTATGTGGGAAATCTCTTTTTTCTCTTAGTTTTGCTGTGAAACTAAAACTGCTAAAATATATAAATATATTTTTTTTTTTTTAAATATGGGATACAATTCAGGGTTGGGTCTAAATGTTCATTATACAGGTACCCTTGCTGATGAGGTGTGCCCCCCTCTCCTGGCAGTGTCCCTCAACTGCCAATCCCACCCCCCTCCTTCCTGGCAGTCTTCCACTACTGCCAATCCCTTTTTTATTGTATTGTGATAATCGTTCAAGGTCCACTTATGAGTGAGAACATATGGTACTCTGTTCTTTGTTCCTGTGATTTTATTTTATTTTGTTTTTATTTTATTTTTGAGTTGGAGTCTCACTCCATCACCCAGATGGCCATTCTTACTGGGGTTAGGTGGTATCTCAATGTGGTTTTGATTTGCATTTCTCTGATGATTAGTGAGACTGAGCACATTTTCATGTATCTGTTGGCTGCCCATATATCT